CTCCCTTGGGTAATGAAGGTAAAGGTAAAGGTTCCCTTGCTCGAAAGCCAGTCAAATCCGACTCTAGGGTTGCGGTGCTCATCTCTGTTTCAAAGCCGAAGAGCCAGCGCTGTCCAAAGACGTTTCCGTGGTCATGTGGCCGGCAGGACTAAACACCAAGACGCACGAAACGCTGTTACCGTCCCACCGAAGTGGTACCTATTTATCTACTTGCAATTTCTTGCTTTCGAACTGCTAGGTTGGCAGGAGCTGGAACGAGAGACGGGAGCTCACTTTGTCATGCGGCACACTCGGGTCTCGAACTGCTGAACTACCGACCTTCCACAGCCTGCAGTTCAGCGTCTTAACCACTTGAGTCACCGCAGCTCAAGTGAAGGGCAGGGTATAAATCCATTATCTTCTCTTCTTCTCTTTTAAGTGTGTCATTATTGCGCACAGATCCCTCCTGTCATTCCTAGTTTGGCCTTTTGATAAGTCCTACGTATATCCTTGTTTTGTCACACTCACATTCAATGACAGTCCTGCAGACTTCGCAAAAGTTTGAGCCTCACACCGGACCGTTTACACAGATGCAGCCTCCGCCTGGACCACACCACTTACTTCAGTTTCTTGCTGATCTTGGTGAACTCCACCAAACCGGCTTCCATGGGCAAGGTCAGCTGCCCCGCGGAGATCATCAGCCGACAATCTTCGTACGTGTGGTCCGTAACAGGCACATCCAGAGCGCTGCAATTTTTAAAAATAATAAAGTTATAAATGCAACGGATCAGATGTTATGCAGTTAGGAAAACAAAGCAAAATGTAGAGTCTCCATGTTTATAGCAAGCTGCACTAACAGAAGGGGTGGATGGACAGCAGAACAGGTAATCATTTCGCTCAAGTAGGGTTACCAGTCTCCAGGTGCTGAGAAGACGCAAACAACCATGTGTTATGCCAAAAAAGTCTCCACGGACAAGAAATTTATTTTTTCCAATACTCACTTTACTGGAAGCTACTATGGGATATGAATAGAGTGTTTGTGAAATGGATTAATATTATATAGGTATTCCCAGTAGTCATGTATGGCTGCGAGAGTTGCACTCTAAGGAAGGCCGAGCACCGAAGAATAGATTCTTTTGAACTATGGTGCTGGAGAAGACTCTTGGAGAGTCCCTTGGACTGCAAGAAGATCAAATCAGTCAATCCTATAAGAAATCAACCCTGACTGTTCCCTGGAAGGCCAGATAATGAAACTGAAGCTCAAATACTTTGGCCACCCAATGAGAAGGGAGCCCTCACTGGAGAAGACCCTGATGCTGGGAAAGATTGCGTCCTGTGATCTCTCTCTTTGGTTTGCAGTCTCCAGGTGTTGGCTGGAGATCACCCGGGATTACACAATTGCTCTCCAGACGACAGGTGTAGATGCAACGAACATGAAACTGAGCCAACTTCAGAGGACGGCCGAAGACAGGAGGGCCTGGCGTGATCTGGTCCATGGGGTCGCGAAGAGTCAGATTTGACTGTGCAACTGAACAACAAATTTCAACGCTACGCATTTTGATAAAGTCGTACAAAACGAGATATAATATGCATGGCTTTTGGTGCTGATGGCGTCTGAATTGCTTCCAGTAAATTAAATATTGGGGAAAGGAATTTCTAGTCCTTGGAGACTTTTTTGGCATAACACATCACGGTTGTTTGCTTCTTTTCAACTTCCATCCCGTGATCTCTCTCTTTGGTTTGCAATCTCCAGGTGCTGGCTGGAGATCACCCGGGATTACACAATTGCTCTCCAGACGACAGGTGTCAGTTCAACTGGAGAAAATGGCTGCTTTGGGAAGGTGGACTCTATGTCACTAAACCCCATTGAAGTCCCTCCCCAAACCCCGCGCTCCTGAGGCTCCACGTCCAACATCTCCAGGTATTTCCCAACCCGGAGCCGGCAACACTATACTCAAGCCTCATTTGGCTCCTAGAATATTGTTGCGTATATTCAAAAGGAGGCAGAGAGTCACCGGCAAGTATACAAAGATGTGGTGTAGGTATGTCATGTGTGTTAAATGGTAACTAAATGGTGAGCCAAAACCTATGCAAAGAGAGACAGGCAAGGATGTGAAGGACGAGAGCAAACCAGGCGGAAGACCTGTTTTCTTTGGCCAAGTAGCTTGTGCAAGACTCTTTTTTTCTTTCTTTTCAAAAAAAATTAATTAGGATATATTAATAGTTCAATTACACATGTTATTTTCAGTCATACATCCTTTCACCCCTTTTCCGCGCTCCTGAGGCTCCACGTCCAACATCTCCAGGTATTTCCCAACCCGGAGCCGGCAACACTATACTCAAGCCTCATTTGGCTCCTAGAATATTGTTGCGTATATTCAAAAGGAGGCAGAGAGTCACCGGCAAGTATACAAAGATGTGGTGTAGGTATGTCATGTGTGTTAAATGGTAACTAAATGGTGAGCCAAAACCTATGCAAAGAGAGACAGGCAAGGATGTGAAGGACAAGAGCAAGCCAGGCGGAAGACCTGTTTTCTTTGTCCAAGTAGCTTGTGCAAGACTCTTGTGTGAAAAGGGGGAAAGGTCCAAACTAGGGGTTGTGCCCCCCCAAAAAAATCGGCCTGATTCGGAATCGGTTGAATCGGACAGAATCTATTTTGGCTGGCAGAAAGACTCCCGTGTGTCAATTTCGGCAGTAGGAGTGAGCGCAAACTGCATACGCCGCGATGACGTCACCCGAAAGTGATGTCATCGCGTTGGGCACACTGGGGGCAGGGCCACTATCATCCAAGGGAAAACCACAGAGTTTCCCCTCAAATTATAGAGAGTTGAGGGAGAGGCTCCAAACTTGCAGGGTAGCTGCTGGAGCCTCTCCCCAAGACACCCACCAAGGTTCAAGAACATTGGACCAGGGGGTCCAATTCTATGGGCCCCCAAACAGGTTGCACATGCCTAGCCCAAACACACACACATGCGAGAACATCCATTGCTCAAGGCTTCCTTAAAAAACAATGGATTTATTGTGGTACTGGGAAAGTTTGTGCTATTACTGTCAGCCTTTTAAAAAAGGGTGCCACAGGACTAGCTGCCTTGTTTCCCCCTGCTTAAGACTAAGTGCTGTGGTGGCAGCTGCTGCCAAAGCAATATTTTTTTTTAAAAAAAACCCTGCACAACCAATCAAAACGCTAATGGCCACCCTATCCCGGATAGCCCAGGCAAGCCCGATTTCGTCAGAACTCAGAAGCTAAGCAGGGTCAACTCTGGCAAGTACTTGGATGGGAGACCTCCTCAGAATACCAGCAGCCAGGAGGCGGGGGCAGGCTTTCTTCAGCCACCTCTCTGAACATCCTCCAGGCCCCCAGTAGGGGTCAGTCACCAGAGGTTGCCATGACTTCCAGGTGCACACACACATTCATGCAGGCACACGCGCGCGCGCGCGCACACACACATATATGAAAAATACAAAAAAAATATCAAAAATCCCTCTAATGGCCAATCAGAAAACTCAGTGAGCAGAAGCCCTACCTGGCCCCACCCACTTTCTTAAAACACTTAAGAACATAAGAGATGCCAATGTTGGATCAGGCCAAAGGCCCATCCAGTCCAACACTCTGTATCACACAGTGGCCAAAAATACCAGGTGCCATCAGGAGGTCCACCAGTGGGGCCAGGACATTAGAAGCCCTCCCACTGTTGACCCCCCCCCCAAAGCACCAAGAAGACAGAGCATCACTTGCCCCAGAGCCCCTATCTATACCTTGTGGCTAATAGCCACTGATGGACCTCTGCTCCATATGCTTATCTAGTTCCCTCTTGAAGCCGTCCATGCTTGTAGCACCCACCACTTCCTGTGGCAGTGAATTCCAAGTGTTAATCACTCTTTGGGTGAAGAAGTACTTCCTTTTATCCGTTCTAACCCGACCGCTCAGCAATTTCATGGAGTGCCCACGAGTTCTTGTATTGTGAGAAAGGGAGAAAAGTACCTCTTTCTCGACCTGCTCTTTCCCATGCATAATCTTATAAACCTCAATCTTGGAAGACACCAGGAAAGATGGCAGCAGGATAGGGTTTCCCCTGGGAATCCCTGCCTATGTCCTGGTCCTTCACTGGAGCTCCTGGGAACCGAGCCCATGAGATTTGCTGCAAGCCAAGCGGATGCTCTGCCACTGAGTCAGGCCCCTCCCACAAGCCAGGCCCCAGAGTTCCAAACTGACCAGCCTCGTTTCCAGAGTGTAACGAATGCATTAGAATTAATCCATCTTTTGTTTTTTTTTCTTTCCACGTGTTTCAAATCAGCTTATGTACACCATTCTCCACAGCTTCCAAACGCATGCTCCCTGATCACAACTACTGGGCTTGTACAATTAGGGTTGCTGAGTCATGCAGCGGGGGAGTCCTCGCCCCCTCTGGGAGTTCCTTGGCGTGAGCGCAAACTGCATACGCCGCGATGACGTCACCCGAAAGTGATGTCATCGTGTTGGGCCCATTGGGGGCAGGGACACTGTCATTCAAGGGAAAACCACAGAGTTTCCCCTCGAATTATAGAGAGTCCCCCCCGCAACGTGCCCGACACGATGATGTCACCTGTGGGCCAGGGCTATTTTTGGGCGCAAGAACGCACAGGAACGGAGTTCCTGCTGGCTCCCAAGTTGGCCACGCCCAGCAGAAACTCATTAGGATAATAGGCCACACCCAACAGCAGGAACTCATTAGGATTGGCTACATTAGGAGTGTGTGGCCTAACATGCAAAGGAGTCCCTGCTACAAAAAAAGGACCACAAACAAGGTAAACAGAATAAGAAGTAAAAGGTGGGTGTGGCTGGATGACCGCACTTCTGGTAACATGGGAATGCGGCCTAATATGCTAATGAGGGGTGCAGTCAGGGGTGTGTGGCCTAATATGCTAATGAGTTTCTGCTGCTGGGTGTGGCCTATTATGCTAATGAGTTACTGTTGGACTTTTTCTACAAAAAAGGCCCTGCCTGTGGGTGACGTCATCACACCAGGCATGTCTCCGTGATCCCGGCAATTTGGGGGTGGGGTTCCCCCCGGGCAGCCTGATCCAGGCCAGGGGGTAACGGACCTATCGAGTGGGGGTTCCCCTGCCCCCCTGGGACCTGGCAACCCTATGTACAATGTATGAACCAATGCAGCAGGGCTGATCTAATGTTATTGATCATGTATCGAAGACAGTCGCAACTTAATAATAGTTTTTGCAACCCAAAACGAAGCCCAAACCTCCCTTCTTACCATGCCATTTTGTAGCGTACTTTGTTGGCAAAAAGAATTGGGGATTTCTTCTCTTCGCAGGTCGGGATGTAGACAGGCAGAAACTGGGAAGGGAAAAAGGAAAGAAGACTTGATGCAGAGAGCCAGTTTGGTGTAGTGGTTAAGTGTGTGGACTCTAATCTGGGAGAACCGGGTTTGATTCCCCACTCCTCCACTTCCACCTGCTGATGTGACCTTGGGTCAGTCACAAGCTCTGGCACAGCTGTCCTTCAAAAAGAGCAGTTTCTGTCAGAGTTCTCTCAACCCCACCCACCTCACAGGGTGTCTGTTGTGGGGAGGGGAAGGGAAAGGAGTTTGTAAGCTGCCCTGAGACTCCAAGTGAAGGGCGGGGTATAAACCCAATCTCTTCTTCTCTTCTTCTTCTTCTTATTCATTGGGACCTGTTTGCAGAAGCAACACCAGACAGCTTTGGCGGGAAAGAAGTTAACCATCCAGGGGAGATAAACCTGTCAACCACTAGATGGCGGCACAGGCTGCAACATTTCATCATCAGCCCATATTCCAAAACCTTCCACAAAAGGAAATGAATTTAGCTCTGCGCTTGAAATGTATAGCTTGTGTTGGCTGCAGGTGCCTCCGTGAGGAATGAAAGAGAACAGCTTTCTTTTAAAGCTGGAAACATTGCTGCAATACCTTCTTTTGACCTTTGCAAGCCACTTTCTGTATTTATAGTGTGGCGTGCCTTTTTTGGGGGGGGGGGTCTGCCTCGCTTTCCAGTTCTGTACACCTAGTACTTCTGCATTATTTATTGGAGATCTTTGCGGTGGAATTGAGCTTTTAAATATTTTGCCATCTGCCTTGGATCACAGTGAGAAAGGAAGGCTTTTAAAGGGGGTGAGGAGGCGGCAGATAATTCAGGACAGAAATACGTGGGGCCGGTGTGATGCGGCCCAGAATAGGAGGAAGGAAACGTAATCTATGTGCCTCACTTCCTTCCCTATGCACACATACCAGGCTACAGAGCTATTTCTAACGTTTAAATTCAGAGGAAGTGACCAGCAGCACAGGAGATGCTGACAGTCTTGGGACAGATTATTCAAAAGAAGAAAACAAAGCAGAAATCGCCAACAGATAAAGGAGAGACAGACACTCTCAACAAACCCCGCTGAATCCTGCCTCCAAGTTACACGGCTTATCACGCAAGCTCTCTTGCTACCCCTCTGAGACCCACCCTGGCCCAAAACACTGTATATTCAAACTTTGCAAAGAGACAGTTGCAGATTACAAAGAGGACCAAGTGACCAGGTTTATTAGCAAGAGCTCTCTGGGGCTTACCTCCACTTCAACATTTGTGTAGAGTTGGCACAGCGTCAGAACCAACGCCTCCAGGCTGGAAGAGAACAAAGGTATGCAGTTACCTTGCATTCGGGTGCAGAGGTCCTAATGCATATCCCAGATCAAAAGTGATCAAAAGAAGAAGAAGAAGAAGAAAAACCTTCAAAAAGTTGTGTCCAACAATAATTACATTTTGGGTTCTAGCGTTCAAAGCACTCCACGGCCACCTTTTACAGCAACTCTGTGAGGGAACAAAAGTTGATTCCAGGAGAACTTTAAAGACCAACAATAAATCCAGGCCCGGTATCAGCTTTTGAGAGCCAAAGATACAAGTAAGAACTCTGCATCTGATGAAGTGAGCTTTGACTTTTGAAAGCAGAACAGTTCAACAAAGACTTACGGATCATGAGTGTCAAAAAATGTCCCCAACGCATCCTCTCACTTGTTCAGCAACCAGTCTAGGTATTTACCAAAAACATGGAGGGATGCCTCACTGCTTTACCATCTTAGATTCTCCATTCCCAACGTCGTGCCTTTACTCTGGCCCACCTGAATGCCTTTCCATCGAAAGTTCCCTATGGAAGATTCAGGCAAATACCCTTTCAAAAAAGGCTGTGCCCACGTGAATTGGGAACTCTCGATTCCTCATCCCATATTATTTTGTCCACTACTTGTTTCTCAGCGCAGCCTATTTCTAACTATTTTCCAAATAACCGGCTTACAGACGAGAAAATGCCAAGCCAGCTTTTAGAAGATGCAAATCCCAAAACCACCATATGTGTTGCAAAGTTTTTAGCAGAAACTTTCAAAATCAAAATGGAACACAGCTGTTCCCTTTGATATTTTATATTTTATATACTATAAGCTTTCTCTCTGGAAGTTTTGTGGGTCTTCAAGGTGCTCCTAGTTGCAAGGGAGGGTACTATTAGACGTGTTGCAGATGGGAGGCCGTGAACTGTGTGCCTCAAGCTACCTTGTGGATTTAGAGCGGAGGGATTTCCTGCTTCAGGCAGTTCTACTCAAAACACCCCCAAATTCATTCCGAGCTCCTGTCCTCTGGACATGAGCAGTGATTCTGTGAGCTGCCGAGATGTGCCTGAATGGAGTAAGGTGTGTTCATCGATGTGACTTCATGTAATCGAGAGAGTATGAAGAAGGCACGCTCACCTGGAGATCATGCTTATGCTCAGGGCTATTTTTGGGCAGGAACGCACAGGAACGGAGTTCCGACTGGCTCCTGAGTTGGCCACGCCCAGCAGGAACTCATTAGCATATTAGGCCACACCCTGACAGCACAGCTCATTAGCATATTAGGCCACACCCTGACAGCACAGCTCATTAGCATATTAGGCCACACCCTGACAGCACAGCTCATTAGCATATTAGGCCACACCCTGACAGCACAGCTCATTAGCATATTAGGCCACACCCTGACAGCACAGCTCATTAGCATATTAGGCCACACCCTGACAGCACAGCTCATTAGCATATTAGGCCACACCCTGACAGCACAGCTCATTAGCATATTAGGCCACACCCAACAGCAGGAACTCATTAGGACTGGCTACATTAGGGGTGTGTGGCCTAACATGCAAAGAAGTTCCTGCTACAAAAAAAGCCCTGCTTATGCTGATGTTTGCAGTGTGACCGATACTTTGCTCTGACTTCTAGCTGCAATGTTGGAGTGAGTGACACATCCTATCTGGACACTGGGGGGCGGGGGCGCTACATCACTCCAACTGTGCCTAGGTGTTATCTCCTTGAATGGGACCTTGCTCTTTGACTTAACTTGGGAGCTGCCCTCTGTCCTCTCATCTCTCTCTCTCTTTTTTTGTCCTCTCACTGTCTTCACATGGCCTTCCATGGGGGGTCACATATCTCTGCAGGCCTCTCCTATAGAAAGCAATGCCCTCACGCTCCCACACACATGATGCCGGGCAAGCTGGCCATTCGTGATAGGGAAAGTACTCTTTAGATTAGGAGCCCTTCTCTTCTTTTAACTGCAACCTGAATGTGAACTGGATCCAGTGTTCCCTCTAAGCTGAGTTAGCGTGAGCTAGCTCACAGCTTTTTAGCCTCCGGCTCACACATTTTCGTCTTAGCTCAGGACGGATGGTTCCAGAGCAAACTAATTCATGCAGTGGCCAAATCGCTCACTCACAACTTTAATGCCAGGAGCTCACAAAGAAGAATTTTTGCTCACAAGACTCCACAGCTTAGAGGGAACATTGATCTACTTGAATAAATGTAAGTTTACTTCTTCTTTTTTTTTGCAATATACTTCTTGGGAGATTTATTTTCTGCACTCAGTACCATGCTTCTACGACTGGGCAAACTCTGCTATATTAACCAAATATCGCAATATCCACATCACCCTGCCGATGTGCAGTTTGAGAATAGCTGGTTCTTACATTATTTAGAGAAGATCAGAACCTTAAAAAGAGAGAGAGAGAGAGAGACTGGGTTCTTGTGCCTGTCAAGCAAAAAGGGGGAATTTGGCATAAAGTGTAAAATACCAAGAGCAGAAGTCCGATATAGGAAGGAAGCTTGTGGCTGACCAGAGCGATTGCGACACACGGGGTTCTGGTAACCTAGCAGGGCTTTTGTATGCAGCCTTCAAAAATCCTTCCATTCCCAGGCCCTTACGGCTTAACTTCTTTTCAGACTACGTGTTTTGTGAGTTTTGAAATGCAAAGTGTTTCAACCTGGCTGCAGTCTAAGCCGTGGGGTTGCAAGATTGTAGCGTTGATCCTGAACTGGCCTGTGCTCAGAGAGTCCAGAGTGCCTTTTCAAGGCTCAGCAACGGATCCCTCTGCCTTTTAACCATTTCTTTCAAACCTACAAGTTACCCAAGCGTTACGACGCCCTCTGCAAAAGCCGCCACACCTTTTTTTTAATCAATGTGCTCAAATGAAAACAGACTTCCAAACAAAGACAGAAGCCAGCATGGTAAAAAATATTTAAAGAGCCAAAGCAGGAACGGGGAGATAGAATTCCCACCCATCCAGATTTCACAATTTCTTGGTTTCACTGATGCTGCAGGTTCGAGGAATAAGTGTGTGGTGAAGGCCATTAGCGCTATGCGGGAAGGGTGATACAGCGACTATTATTAATACCATCATCATTCCAGTGTGTAGTGGTGGTAATAATAATTACCACCATTTGGCATTGTGTGTAGTATAGCTAGGAGAGCCTAAGGCTGTCTGGCAGACAGAAGTTGTAGCTCTTTAGCTTTATGCGCCACTAAGTGGCGAGCTAGACTTTGTTTTTAAGGCAAGAGATGTTTAAGGGATGGTTTGCCCTTGCCTGCCTCAGATTTCACAATTTCTTGGTTTCACTGATGTTGCAGGTTCGAGGAATGAGTGTGCGGCGAAGGCCATTAGCGCCATGCGGGAAGGGTGGGACAGCTACTATTATTAACACTATCATCATTCCAGTGTGCAGTGGTGGCAATAATAATTACCACCATTTGGCATTGTGTGTAGTATAGCTAGGAGAGCCTAAGACTGTCTGGCAGCCAGAAATTGTAGCTCTTTAGCTTTATGCGCCACTAGGTGGCGAGCTAGACTTTGTTTTTAAGGCAAGAGATGTTTGAGAGGTGGTTTGCCCTTGCCTGCCTCTGTGTCACGACCTGGACTTCCTTGGAGGTCTCCCATCAAAATACTAACCAGGACTGACCCTGCTTAGCTTCCCGAGATCTGACGAGATCGGGCTAGCCTGGGTTATCCAGGTCAGGGCAGCGGCTGATGTGTCAGACTAGGATCTGGGAGACCCAGGTTTCGAATCCCCACTCATGCCATGGAAGCTCACTGGGTGACCTTGGGCCAGCCACACGCCCTCGGCCTAAACTACCTCACAGGGTTGTTGTTGTTGTAAAACAGTCAAAAGTGTTTAATACTTAGACTATCAATGGATCTTGCTCTATTGGAAAGAAGAGATTTCTTTGCTTTAAAAAACCATTATTTCTAAGGGTAAAAAGTATACGGGATTACGACAAATAAACGTAACACTAACAGCTACATTTTCTAAGCTGCCTATAGTCAACACTAGCACACAGATAAAGGAGAATCGCTCCTTCTTCCTGACCCCTAGAAAGGAAGTCACCTGAAACAAATGACCAATCTGTATCACAGTAGAAAGCTACTTTTCCCGGGCTAATTCCCCATTGGCTCCGTGCCAGGTATCCCTTCCAGGTCGGTCTAAACAATAGCAATACTAGGCAAGCAAGTTAACCCTATAATGACTGAATTGTCAGACCTTGTAAACACATACATTTCCAACAGTTGTGAGGATAGGAAGGGGGAGTAGAGAATGATGTCAGCAGCTTTGGGGTCTCCCACTGGGAAGAAGAGTGAAGGTCTAAACGAAGTAATTTTTTTCTTAAAAAAATAGGCTTGCCATTTGCCTGTGGGCAACCCTCCCCCCACCCTCAATAATTTGAGGAACAATGCAGAATATATAGTATTTAAGAACGTTAAGTATAGGAGCATTATATTATTAAGTGTGGGAAATAATGAATTGAGTTAAATTTGAGTTGCAGAAAGTGAGATTGAAGGAGTCTAGTCACATTGGAAATTGAAGGGATTTGGGTGTATTTTATCAAGGATTTTGTTTATATGTTTATATGTATAATTACTTACTTATATATGTATGGAAGATGGAATAGACAATATAACTTAAAGTTGGGAGTATGGATTAGTGGCATAAAACTTAAAGGTTGATAGTTAGGAAGTGTTTATGTAATCTTATATCTATCAAGTGGAAATTGTGAGAATCTTACATAGAGAGTTTAAATTCTATAGAGAATGGGTAAAGTATAGTAAGCAAGCTAAAAATCTGATATAATTGTTTTGGCGTACAGCAAGTGTTGATTTATGTATTTGGCTTATATATACAAGAATCGAATATATGTTAAGTGACATGGTATATTGGTATCAATATTTGTATATATATTGGTATTTAGATTGTGTGTTTGTTTGTGTGGCATATTGAAAATCCAATAAATAATTTTTTAAAAAAAATTTGAGGAACAAAAGAAAAAATGAGGGGGGAGGGAGTAGTGTCGATGGTTCTACTGTCTTTACCACAGAGATTAGGGGAAACTCCTAGAGCATCGCGTGGAAGAGGCATGACATCCTCCTGTAACTCCACCCTCCCCAGGTACGCCCCCCCCAAATCTGGAATTTACCAGTGCCAGGTTGGGAACCCTATCGACCAACATTTACAACTCTTAAAGCAGCTGATCCAAAATAAGTCCTCACCAATTAATCCGCTAAAGCTTTAATTGATCGATCCACAAAACAGAGTCCTACCTACACACTGTTGGAGTAAGCGGCTCAGCATGCCTGGACATTGGATTAACACTTGGAATTAACTGCCACAGGCAGTGGTGGCGGCTACAAGCATGGATGGCTTCAAGAGGGAATTGGATCAACATATGGAGCAGAGGTCCATCAGTGGCTATTAGCCACAAGGTATAGATAGGAGCTCTGGGGCAAGTGATGCTCTGTCTTCTTGGTGCTTGGGGGGGTCAACAGTGGGAGGGCTTCTAATGTCCTGGCCCCACTGGTGGACCTCCTGATGGCCCCTGGTATTTCTGGCCACTGTGTGATACAGAGCGTTGGACTGGATGGGCCTTTGGCCTGATCCAACATTGGCATCTCTTATGTTCTTATGGGGGGGCTTCTACATCGCTCTAAGAGGGTACACGTGTTCATCTCTTTGAATGAGATGCCTCTCTTTGTCTTAACCTGAGAGCTGCCCTCTGACCCCTCCTCTCTCCCTTTGTCCTCTCCCCCTCTTCACATGGCCTTCCACGGAGACACATGTCTCTGCAGGTCTCTCCTGTAGAGACAGTGCCCTCGTACTCCCACACACATGATGCCAGACAAGCTCTTTAGATCTGGATTCTCTTTCTCTTCTTTTTGACCTTTACCGGTATATGAACTGAATCTACTTGAATATAAGTGAAAGTTTACCTTTTTTTGCAATATACTTCTTGGGAGATTTGTTTACTGCACTTGGCCTCACACTTCTACAACAGGGCAAAACTCTGCTATATTAACCGAATATCCCAATACGCACTTCAGTAGTGGGCAACATGGCGCTCCACACTGTTTCGATGCAACTGGCTTGCAGTGTCTGTAGATTCGCAACGAGACCCTGTGATATGCTTGATCACGGCCAACCTATTTGTGAACTGTGAGAAGCAGATCAGCATTAGGAGAGGAGGACTTATTTATTTATTTGTTTGTTTGTTTGTTCGACTTCTATACTGCTCCTTCCCGTAGGCTCGGAGCGGTTTACATGTAGGCTCGAGGAAGTCGCAGGCAGCGGAGAGAAGACCTACGCCAGGAGGACGTCGCCGCCAGACTAGGAAGATCTTCCACAGATAACAACAACGAAAGATGTGCTAGAGGGTCCCTGTTAGGCTAGTCACCTCCTCAATGTATGTGTGTGGCCCTAGGTAAGGATTGATTGTATTTAAATATGTGAACCGCTTTTTTTTCCGCTCAGAGCCCTTAGGGGGTGAGCGGTATACAAATTGAAGGATAAATAAATAAAAATAAATAAAAAATAAAGACTTACAAGGTATTGCCTTGCCACGTCCACGTCACGGTATCCTAGAGGAAAAAAAACAGAAGAAATTCCTGATCAGATACGCTAAACAAACAGTTGAAGCAGAAAAAGAGCATTATCATTCCCTAGACAAATGGCCACCATTATGGACGGACAACCCGGGTACCAAAAGAGAACCCTGCTTCTGGTGGCTCTTTGCTTGAGGACAATTTGGCTCTACAACCATAGGAAGGCGATTCCTGGACCAGAGGTTTATATCTGAGAACCACTTGGCATGTGATTGCACTTTTAGAGGCCTCATTTGTACTTTTTACTCTGTGCCTGGTGGTTTTATCTTGAAACAACTTGCTTCTGGTCCTTACTGAATATATACTTTGTATTTATAGGATTGTACCAAGAAACTGCAAGTAGATAAATAGGTACCCCTTCGGTGGGAAGGTAACAGCGTTCCGTGCGCCTTGGTGTTTAGTCATGCCGGCCACATGACCACGGAAATGTCTTCGGACAGTGCTGGCTCTTCGGCTTTGAAACAGAGATGAGCACCACGAACCTAGAGTCAGATTCGACTGGCTTTCGAGCCAGGGAACCTTTACTTTATTTGTATAATAGCCATTATGTTACTCACTATTGACCTCTGAGGAAGGCCTATGTAGGCCAAACTGCGTCAGGTCAGATTTATCAGCCCTGGTGTTTTACCGTTTGTTATTTATACATAACGTGTGATTGGGCCCTTATATAATTTTAAAATTTGTGATTAATAAATACATGTATTTTTTATATATTTCCTTCATTAACTTTTTAATATTGGCCCCCTTTCTTGCATTGGACTAACCTTTGTCAGGTTCTGGATTCTAAGTTTTAGGTTCAGTTTTTTCCCCCCTTTCCCCTTTTTTGTCCTTGGTTGGGAGGCAACCAGGAAGAGGGACTTTTCTCTGGTGGCCTCCAAACTGAAGGCTGGACGATCCATGAGTAGACCTTCCCTGCGTTTGTTTCGTAAATGAAAAGAGTAGCTGTGCAAGACCATACTTTTGCTCAGGACTCTCGGGGGAGGGGGGGGGAGAGATGGGATTTAAGCATTCTTTCCCCGATGTGGCTTCAACAAAAAGCTGAGAAGAAGACAGGACTATGCCAGCAGTAGCAGCAGAAAAGAAAAAACCAAGGTGTAGAAGTGTTTTATTATTCTTTCTGATCCCAATGCATTTTGCCTTTGTCAGAGGATCCGTTATAAGCAAGGAAAAAAGACTGATAGAATGAAACCATTTATAAAAATATATGCAGTCATTATAATCTAATTAGGAACCTACGAATCAAAACTCTTTTTGAGAATCAGGCATTATTTGAAAGGATTCTGTAATAGTTTCCCCCTAGAAAAACAATTACGTAAATCATAATTATTACATGTTAAAAATGATGCATGGCTGTATTGTAGCATAAGCTTCAAGTCACACCTTGAGCATTGGACCTGAAATCAAGCTCAGGTGGTTAAATGGTCTAATGGTTTAGGTGCTCGTTAAGCCTCTTAAATGACCATTGTTTAAAAACATTGTTTAGTGTATTACAACAAGCAACAGTTCCTTATACAACAGAGTGCAAAAAAAAATTCCTAAAATCAAATTGATTCCAAATTATAATAATATATGTTTTTTTTAAAATACTTTACAATTTTCCCAAAATAGATTTTTTTTGGCATGTAAAGATTATGATTTACTTGATTGTTTTTCTAAGGGAAAACTATTATAGAATCCTTTATAATAATGCCTAATCCTTAGAAAGGATTTCAATTTCTAGGTTCCTGTGTTGTTTTTAATCATTCTAATTGGATTATAATGACTGCATACATTTTTATGAATGGTTTTATTCTAGGACTGTATTTCCCTTGCTTGTAGCAGATCCCCTGACGAAGCCAGAGGTGTAACACATTGGGATCAGAAAGAATAATAAAAAGTTCTCTCTACACCTTGATTTTTTTTTTTCGGCTTCAACAAAACCCCACCATCCTGCAATGTTATTGGACTTGGGAAGGAAGACGGGAGAATGGGTAGAGTGATGGGCCTGTTTTGATAAGTGAAATTACGTGGGGAAGAACCGTTAGACGCCCCTTTTCAGACAACGGTCCCCAGTTCACACAGGAGCCTGCAGATCTGCTCTTTAGAACACAAACTTTCCCCAGTTTTCTTTTAAGGTAGTCTGATGGAGCAGTTGGAACTGGTGAACTGAACAGAGCGAGGACGAGTTTCCTACACAGGGCTGGCTTCCACAGGCTAGTCCATCCCTTGTGAAATTCAGCATCAAGCTGAGACTCGTACAAATGACTGGGCCACTGAGGACATAACTTTCAGATAGAGTCCAGCTGCAAGAAGGTTCTCCCAAGCTGATTTAGGCAGACTGAATGATTTGCTACATGGTCAGAAGACGAGATGACCACTGAGTGATGACTTTAAATTTTAAAAAGCATAATTTGAAAAACATACCCGCTTGTTTGGGTATCGGATCACCACTGGCTGAACTGGGACGCCTGGAATGAAGGCTCCTGGAAATACAAAGTTGTTTGTTAAATAATAATAATAATATACTTTATTGTCATTGTACATAGTACAACGAAATTAAGGTGCAATCATTCGGTGATCTAAAAGCATACTCATATACACTCACACAACCATTAGGGTTCACATTGCAACTTAACCACCAATGTCAACAAAACCACCAAATTCCAATTCATACAGCATTTAAAGCAATAATAGCTCTCGAATAAAAACTGTTTTTTAATCTGTTTGTCCTTGTTTTGATTGTCCTATATCTTCTACCCGAAGGCAGCAGTTCAAACAGGGAGTGTTCAGGGTGTGACAAATCCTGCAAAATGTTCTTTGCTTTTTTCAAGCATCGAGAACTATACAATTCCTCCATGAGTGGGAGAGGACAGCCAATAATCTTCTGGGCTGTGTTGATAACAGACAGGCAAACCACGATGGGGTGAATTTAAGTGGACAGTTCCCTGAGAACCAATCCATCACATGGTGTGAGTTAATATTAGGATTATCAACTAAATTATTTGAAAATGGTCAGAACGATGGCAACGTGAAACCAAGTCTGAAGTCTGCTGCCCCTTGCACTCTCTCAGGCCTAGCTGGTGGTTTGAGCTAGTGGTCAGGACCAATGCTCCCTCTAAGCTGTGGAGTCTTGTGAGCAAAAATTCAACTTTGTGAGCTACTGGTATTAAAGTTGTGAGCGAGTGATTTGGCTGCTACATAAATTAGTTTGCTCTGGAGCCATCCTTCCTGAGCGAAGACAAAAATGTGTGCGCTGGAGGCTAAAAAACTGTGAACTAGCTCACACTAACTCAGCTTAGAGGGAACACTGGTTAGGACCTGCATGGCCTGAGTTCAAACTGCCATTTTAAAGTTGTTCTTAGTTGTATTGTATTAAGGTTGATGTAAACCACCCTGAGCCTGCCTGCAGGGAGAGCGGGATATAAATTTAATAAATAACTGAAATAAAAAAATAAATAACCGGTTGGGTGACCTTGGGCCAGCCACTTACTCTTAGAGGTGACCAACACTTTTTCGTAAGAACATAAAAGAAATCATGTTGGGTCAGGCCAATGGCCCATCCAGTCCAAAACCCTGTGTAACGCAGGGGCCAAAACCCAGGGGCCATCAGGAGGTCCACCAGCAAAGCTAGAACTCTAGAAGCCCATCCCACTAGAAGCTCCCCCCCCCACTCTGGCCCCCCAAGCACCAAGAAAACGGAACATCACTGCCCAACACATAAGAACACAAGAGAAGCCATGCTGGGTCAGGCCAATGGCCCATCCTGTCCAACACTCTGTGTCACACAGTGGCCAAAACCTAGGGGTCCTCAGGAGGTCCAGAACTCTAGAAGCCCTTCCATGGTTGCCCCCAAAGCACCAAGAATACAAAGCATCACTGCCCCAGAGAGAACGTTCCATCTACATCTTGTGGTTAATAGCCACTGAAGGCCCTCTGCTCCAGATGTTTACCCAATCCCCTCTTGAAGCTCTCCACATGTTAATTACTCCTTGGTTGAAAAAGTTCTCCCAGATGCTTTAAACCAAAGCTCCTTCTACCCCAGCTTTTGAGCAGCAAGGCATCCAAGACGAGATCTCCCTTACCTTGCTTAAAAGTGATCAGGCACGAACGGTTTGTGCAAGTGCCTTCTGGGAAAACTAATATCTAGAAGAAATAAAGGAAAAGGACATAACCTTTTTTCATGAAACTTAACTCTTGCACACACACGCACACACAAAAAAGTGGCAATTCATGGTGAAACACTCACTTGCAGGAGTCATTTCGTAGAAAAAGAGGTGCTGGAGCTCATTAGCACAACTCATTAGCATAACTCATTTGCATATGCCACACCCCATTACATCACCGGAAGTGTGTCAGAAGGCAACACCCACCGCTCAGGCTCCACTGGACTGTTTTGGATGGTTAGCTATTGGGGGGGGGGGGGAACGTGCAGATCTGTCCTCACAAAGGAGGGAGAGCTTGTCCCTGAATAAACCTTGGTCTTAAAGTGGTCTGCAAGGGCCCACGGGCCTGTGTTGGACCGGGGGGGGGGGCTCTGCAACTCACCTGGCTGCTTCTTGCTCTGACTGAGGGCTGCTGGGAGGAGGGGGTGGGGCTTGTTGCATGTTCCCACCCCCTGGGCTCTTTACTGCCGGAGCTCCGCTCCTGTGTGCTCCTGCAGGAAATGTCCCCTGCTCACTTTCATTCATGATGCATTGGGCAACAGAGGACAGGGCGGGAAAGACACATCAGCCAAGGAATATATTCTCATGCAATTCATTTATTTAGGGTCTTGGGGGAAGGCGTACGCTATGTGCAATGCACATTTAATGTCTCGGGTTCAACCCCCTCCAGTTAAAAGGAACCAGAGAAGGAGATATTGGGACACTGGAGGTTTGCTGTCAGGACCAATGTTCCCTCTAAGCTGTGGAGTCTTGTGAGCAAAAATTCTACTTCACATAAGAAGAGCCTACTGAACCAGATCAGGGCTTTATCTAGTTCAGCATCCTGTTTCACACAGCAGCCAAATGGCTGTCCTGGAGGGCCAAACAAACGGGGCACAGAGGGGAAGGCCTTTCCCTTCTCCATCAGTCTGCCTGACCCCCTTCTAAAGCCATCGATGCTCAGGATGAAAGAAGGATTTCCTTTTGTCTGTCCTGAAACTGTTTCCCCAAAATTTCACTGGGTGCCCCCAATTTCTAGCATTATGGGAGAAAAGCTCTCTCTGCCCAGTTTCTCTACTCCACGCATCCTTTTAGCAACATTTCCACGGGTTTCCTTTTCTGCTGCAGAGACCCCATTTGCCCCTGTCATGATCTGGGCTGTGCCACCAGAGGCCTACTAGGCCCAGGGAGCCTGGCTAGCAGTAGGTGAGGCTGGGCCTACCAGAAGCCCCTGAGAGGTTTTGGAGACAAAATTGACCAATAGGAAAAGAGGAGGGCTTGGAATAAAATATCTGATGCAGCAGGAAAAGCTGTTCTTCTTCCCAGAGGGCAGAGCCAGAAGGAAGGCTGCTGCAAGGAAGAAACCCTCATCCTGAGGGAAGGGTGAGTAGTCTAGTGTCACTTGGAATAGTGAGCTAGGGACAGTATATATTTAGACGCATTAGGACGTTTGATTTCTCTTCTTTTCACCCACACTGTTATATTTCTTCACCTTGTTGTTTGACCTCCTATACAATAAACTATTTTTATTGTTCACTCTGCCTGGGAAGGTGCTCTGGGCCTTCTCAGAGGAGCCTGGAACCAGAGTGGTGGCAGCGTCAGGTGACACCCCACCTTAGCCGTGACAGCCCCTCATGCCATTCCACAGGAGCCGCACTATTGTCCTGTCGTCTCTCTAAGTAGCTCAGAGTGGTGTGCACGGGTTTCCCCTCTTTCAGTTGATCTGCGTAAGAACCCTGTGAGGTCAGTTAAGCTAAGAAAACGTCATCGGCTCAAGTGAGGAGGTGACTCATGGCCTCCAGCCAGTGAGTCCAACACTCTACCCACCCTGGCTCTGCACCGCACTCGGTTATACCTGCGGCCATCCTTCCTCCGAAGTTGTGCGTCTGCTTATTTCATTGATCGTGTTGCTCCGAGAATCGGGGTCCAGGCGGGATACCAGTATGGGCTGAAGTGCTTGAAGTATTCCTGTTAAAAAATACAAACATTACTGTTTGTCCTCTCAAGGGCAGTCCTCGAGAGAGCTCTCTCAGCCCCACCTACCTCACAGGGTGTCTGTTGTGGGGAGGGGAAGGGAAAGGAGATTGTGAGCCGCTCTGAGACTCCTTTGGGTAGTGAAGGGCGGGGTATAAATCCAATCTCTTCTTCTTTTACCTCACAGGGCGTCTGTTGTGGGGAGGGGAAGGGAAAGGAGATTGTGAGCCGCTCTGAGACTCCTTTGGGTAGTGAAGGGCGGGGTATAAATCCAATCTCTTCTTCTTTTACCTCACAGGGCGTCTGTTGTGGGGAGGGGAAGGGAAAGGAGATTGTGAGCCGCTCTGAGACTCCTTTGGGTAGTGAAGGGCGGGGTATAAATCCAATCTCTTCTTCTTTTACCTCACAGGGCGTCTGTTGTGGGGAGGGGAAGGGAAAGGAGATTGTGAGCCGCTCTGAGACTCCTTTGGGTAGTGAAGGGCGGGGTATAAGTCCAATCTTTTCTCTTCTTCTTTTGCAAAGACACTTACTGCCAAGGATGGGGGCATTGAGGTTCTCTGCTCTAGACACGATGGACGGCAACCCAGCGAGGACGCAGGCGATTCCGTCAAAGAAGCTGGAGTGAGGGGCTACGGCGAAGATGGCCGCTTCTGAGCTGCTGGACGGTTTGCCTCTCACTTTCACGTGGAAGCCCATCGCAAAGAACAAGGCCCGGCCCAGGAACCGGAGGCTGGTGTTCGATACGGACCTTATAAAGAAAAGAGAACAAGAGTCAGACCCACAAAGCTGGAGCATTAGCTCAATACAAATGTCACTGCTGCTGATTTTAAATGTAAAATAAAGGATTTCCCCGGGCAATATCCACCGTCGCGTATTCTACTGCCAGCAAGAGTGAAGAGAACTTTCTCCTCAGAAACAGTCCGATACTTAGACATAGTCTGAGAGCCAGTTTGGTGTAGTGGTTAAAAGCTCAAACACTAATCTGGGCAAACTGGGTTTGATTCCCCACTCCTCCACATGCAGCTACTGGTGTGACCTTGGGTTGGTCATAAGTTCTTTCAGAGCTGTTCTCTCAAGGGCAGTTCTCGAAAGAGTTCTTTCAGCCCCACCTACCTCACAGGCAGTGTTCCCTCAAAGCTGAGTTAGTGTGAGCTAACTCAGTTTTTTAGCCTTCAGCTCACAGATTCTTGCCTTAGCTCAAGAAGGATGGCTCCAGAGCAAACTAATTTATGCAGGAGCCAAATTCCTGGCTCACAACTTTAATGCTAGTAGCTCACAAAGTAGAACTTTTGCTCACAAGACTCCACAGCTTAGAGGGAGCATTGTTCTTAACCAGGGGTCAGTTCCTGCAGGAGCGCACAGGAGCGGAGCTCTGGCAGTAAAGAGCCCAGGGGGCGGGCACATGCAACAAGCCCCACCCCCTGCTCCCAGCAGCCCTCAGTCAGAGCAAGAAGCCGCCAGGGAAATTGCAGAGCCCCCCCCCCCAGCCCCCCGGTCCAAAACAGTCCAATGGCACCTTTAAGACCAAGTTTTATTCAGGTACCAGCTCTCCTTCCTCTGCAAGGACAGATCTGCACGTTCCCCCTCCCCCCATAGCTGGCAATCCAAAACAGTAAAGCGGAGGCTGAGCGGTGGGTGTTGCCTTCTGACACACTTCCGGTGATGTCAGGGGGTGTGGCATATGCAAATGAGTTATGCTAACGAGCTCCTGCACCTCTTTTTCTACCAAATGACCCCTGTTCTTAACACTTTCCCTCTGGATACAACTGCAATAGCAGGAAGTCTCCAGGTGCCACCTGGAGATTGGCACCTCTACACTGCACTGAGAGCCAAATTATGAATGCTTGGGGGGGGGAGTTGTCTAAGATCCCCACAGGACTTCAGGCAGAGCTGAGAGCAAAACCGAGGATGGGCCCATCTACGTGTAGCTCAGTCTCTAATGGGACCATCCTAAGAACACTTCCCCGGAAGTAAACCCCACCGACAAACACAGGACTTTTTTTTTCTTAGTAGACTTGCTCAGGCTTGCTCCCTCCACCACCACGGGACCAGAGATCTCATGCTACACCAGCCAGAAGTTTATTTGGAGGTCACGCTGCAGAATTGTAAGGCAGAAACCGACATTCGGCGCACTCACTAAGGAAGCGATGTGCTGAAGCCATTAAAGAGGCACAGCAGTACAAAGAAGCGTTTGTCACCAGGAGTCGGGCCAAACCACTAGACTGGCCTCCCGGCATGTTCCATCAGGAGATCTCAACTCAGAACGGGCCAGGCAGAGCTGAAGGCGTGACCAACAGTCTGTTAGTAACGCCAGTTTGGTGTAGTGGTTAAGTGTGCGGACTCTAATCTGGGAGAACCGGGTTTGATTCCCCACTCCTCCACTTGCACCTGCTGATGTGACCTTGGTTCAGTCGCAAGCTCTGGCACAGCTGTCCTTGAAAAAGAGCAGTTTGTGTCAGAGTTCTCTCAGCCCCACCCACCTCACAGGGGGCCTGTTGTGGGGAGGGGAAGGGAAAGGAGTTTGTAAGCCGCTCTGAGACTCCAAGTGAAGGGTGGGATATAAATCCAATCTCCTCCTCCTCCTCTTCTTCTTCTAACGGGCCTGTGGTTGGCCTCCGGTCCCTGCTCTTCACCAAAGCCGCCAATCTCTTAGCAAATAGAAGAAAATGCTACTTCTTTCTGTAGCTAAACCTTTTTCATTAATTCATTCCATTTCATTCATATTGTGTCTAGATTTGAGTCCAGTAGTAGGTGATATCACAGAGTCAGGGTCTCAGTGACCCGTTTGTTCATCTTCAGGGGCAACTGGTTGGCTGCTGCGTAAAACAGGAAGCTGGACAGAATGGACCCCTGGTCGGATCTCTTATGTTGTTACAAACTTGGGACCACATGCACCCAAAGACAAGACTCTGTCAATAAGCCACAGGCCTCCCAAAACCCTACGCCTGGGTTGGATATAATTGTTAGCTGCAAACCAGGAAGTTTCTCATGAACTCACGGCACATGAAGGGAAGGGGACGAAAAGGAGCCCACCCAAGGCCCCTTCTACGCTCTTTCACGCAGTGCCACACCAAGGTTAGCAATACTTCTAACCCAACCCTTAGGACAGAATTCTTTGCTCATATTCCTGGGGCCAACTCTAGTGGAACAGAGCACTGTGCATAAGATCCGACTGCAAAACTTTTGTTTTGCTGAAGGAGAAGGCTATGGCAAATTAAATACGGCAAGGACATTCTTTGCCCACACGCAAATGGTCTTTCGGGGGGAAAAAATAACCTCCACTAGAGAGACGGAGAAAGGCATGGAAAACAGTAGGAGTCCAGTAGCACCTTAAAGACTAACAAAATTTGTGGCAGCGTAGGAGCTTTTGTGAGTGACTGACGAAAGCTCCTACCCTGCCACAAATTTTGTTAGTCTTTAGCAGGGCTTTTTTTTGTAGAAAAAGCCCAGCAGGAACTCATTAGCATAATAGCCCGCACCCAACAGCAGAAACTCATTAGCATATTAGGCCACACCCCATGCCTTCCCTTGGCTTGCCCGGGTGCCCTGTGGCTGCAGGGAGCCCGTGCAAGCCCCCCCTGAAAAGCACCCCCCAGCCCCCCCCCCCCCCCACCGGTAGGGTTCCCAAGTACCTCCCTATGTCCCGGCGGGGGACACATGCTTCCCCGCCATTAGATTCTTGCTTGTAACACAGGCGCTGCACTATTCCATCGCCCAGACATGACGTAGGCACATAGCTGGGCGACGCTCTGGTAATGGGACTGGAAACTCAATGGTACCATCGAGTTTCCAGCCCCAATCCTAGAAAGTCGCCCGGCTACGTGCCTACGTCACGTCTGGGCGACGGAATAGTGCAGCGCCTGTGTTTTCCCCGCGGGAATGGTCCCACGAAGAACTATACATCCCCCGCTGAATTAAGGTAAGTACTTGGGAGCCCTGGCCCCACCCGCCTTGGAGTCGCCAGGGGTCGTTCTACACGCACACAGAGGTTTGGGCGTGGCCAACTCTGAAGCCAACCAGAACTCTATTCCTTTGTGTTCCTGCCCAAAAATTGTCCTGGTCTTGGGTGCTCCTGGACTCTTGTTCTTTTCTACTGTTACAGACAGACCAACACAGAGTTACCCATCTTGATCTGTCTCTGCAGACGCACACAGAGGTTTGGGCGTGGCCAACTCTGAAGCCAACCAGAACTCTATTCCTTTGTGTTCCTGCCCAAAAATTGTCCTGGTCTTGGGTGCTCCTGGACTCTTGTTCTTTTCTACTGTTACAGATAGACTAACACAGATGTACCCATCTTTATCTGTCTCTGCAGACAGACAGACAGACTTTCCTGCCCACGTCTTCCCCATGGGACTCTTACCTTTTCCACCCGGTAAGAGGCACACCCGCTTTTCGACAGCTGCATGAAGTCGCCAGGACTGCAAACGGCCACGCCGTGAGTAAAATCAGCAGCATCGCCAAGGCCCGTAGCGGGAGCAGGAGAAGTCCAAACAGGGCAGCCTGGGGAACGAGAGAGTCACCAGACAAGATTTTAGCGACACCTTTCTTGTTGGCCGATGTTCTGGGAACGATCGCGTCCTGCCCTCCCACCGGTCTAGGCATAAGCCAAAAATAAGGGTGCAAAGGAGCTCTAGAGTTTTGCCAGGAGAGCGCATCATGCATTGGAGTGATGCAGAACAAACAGCTCCGCTTGAGTTGCCAATGCCAAGAAACAGAGAGGCTCTCATATTCGAGATTCTCCCGAGTCGCGGAACTCCGAAACAGTCAGCCTTGTTTTTTTAAATAAAGTTTTTTTTTAATTTCATACATATAAGACAAAACATAAACAAACTAACATAAATACATATTGGGGAAGATATCTTGTGTCCCTTTTTCTTTTTACACAGTCATTTGACCTCATGTTGTAACCAAATTTTTTTTTTCTTTTTCCCACCTCATGATTTTAATAGACATATTTTGCTCATAATCTATATATCTAATAGCCAAGTGGTCCCGTCTGTGCGGATCGCTATATCCGCACTTCCGGGGCACTTGGGGGGCAGGGGGAGGTTTGTGCACTCTTGGGGCAGTCCCCAGGGGTGCACAAAAATCAAAAAACTAAAAAAAATATATCGGGGGATGTTTAAATCCCCCCGAAAGTGAAAGAGCGTTCGTGCGCATGCGCACGAACGCTCTGTAGCCGACCGTGCCGCCGCCGCCTCGGAGTCAGCCGGGGGGCCGAAGGGAGGTCCGGCTTCGCCGCTGCCGCTGCCTCCACCATGGAGCCGGACG